CGCGGCCTCGCTCCGCTACTCCGGAGAAGCCGGGAAGACAGGGGCCCGGCACCGAAAGAAAAACCCAAACAGCTAAGCCCTAAGAGCTAAATTTAAAACAACAATAATGATCCGTTAGCTTAAAAAAATTAAGAAGAAGGAAAAAAAAAAAAAACTCCTCTCTAAAAACTCCCAAAGTTTTGGCAGGAGCTTTCGAGTCAGACCCGGGGTAGGACCTTGATCCGTGCGCTCATTGGACGCCTATGTACACAATGGGACTCAGGAGTGGAGGGGAATTGGGAAAGAGGGGCGTGGCCCGTCCTCAGCCACGCCCTGGCCACACCAAAGTGTTTTCTGCGGCCGCGTGGGCTGAGCTAAGCACTGCGCGTCCCTAGGAGCCGCTTAGGGGCGGAGAGTCGGCTCCTCCGGCCTCTGGCTGTCCTCTGTGGCCTGCTGCTCGGGGACCCTCCACGGGGAGCGAGGAGTCTGTCTCAAGAGGGGAGCGCTGGGACTCCCATGCTCGGCTGTAATGAACAGTTTCCCTCATCCCCCCAGAACAGACCGCGCGGGCGGACCGTAGGCTGTCCCTTCTATTTTCTACTTTCACGCGATTCTTCTCTCTGCTTTTATTTATCCCAAATTCTGGTGTCCTCGGCAAAGGCTCCATCTTTCCCGGGCCCCTGCAACCCGGAATCCCGGCCCAAATCTGCAATCCGTCTGCCTCCGAGCTCACAGGAGCTTCTCAGAGAAGCCAGAGGAGGGCCGGCCGCAAATTATTTTTATTCTGAGATGTCATTCCAGTGACAACTTGAAAGAGTGACTTTTCAAACAAAATAAGATAGATGGCTCCAAACGTCTCCCTTGGACACATCCAAACTTTTGCCCCGAGCCTAGGAAACAACAAAACGGGCTTTCTCACCGGGCCCAGGAGAGCAGCAAGCGAGTCCTCTCCCTGCACCTTGTAGGAAGTGCCACCCTTCGGGGCCACCACATACCCTGGTCACGTGGGTCCGATATTTTGCAAGTGCCAGGGAGAGGTTGCCTTTGAGATTAAATACCTACTTTCAATTCGGTGGCGGTTTTTCCAGGATCCGCTTTGGCCTGTTGGCGGGGGGGGCGGGCCCCGCCGCCCCAGCCCGGGCAACTCTGGGTATGTGGAGCGGGAGTTTTCTGTAGCATCAACATCTCTATTTTAAGAATTCGTTGTGTTTTAAATTATAGTCAGAATGGATTTCCCCGCCCCTCTCCCAAACAGATCACAGGCTGAGCTGTTCTTGCACATTTTCAGGAAGAAAATAAAATAACGACAATAACGAAACCATCAAATCTTTTGTTTTCGATTGTACAAATAATTGTCTCCTAAATGAGATTCCAAGGCATGCTTATTTCTCCTCAGCTCTAAGATACCAGTTAAACCCGAAAACGCATGGGGACATGCTAGGCTACTATCAGTTCAGGATTGGAGTGGGCTCCTGAGTTAATTAACGTCTAGCAGCTTTGTGGCCCTTCCTCAGCGACATTGTCATCATTAGCGGTTGCCTTTCTCCTGGACCACAACCATCAGCTAAGGCTAATCAGTCACAGAATCTACAGCCACTGAGATTTTTCCTCTCTTTCTTGTCTTTCCCTCGATTTCTACTCTGCGCCCCACTCCCTCGCGAAAGGCTCCCTGGCCTTAACTCCCGGCATCAGGGACAGAGGGGTATAGACAGTTGAGGGCAGCGGTGCCTTGGGGAGAGGGGCCGGATGTCATGTCTAGCAGGAGGTGGACTTGTGATGAGCACAAGGCCACCGAGGTGAGACTTTGGCTAAAAGTTCTGCTGTGATGAGGTGAGAGAGAACCGTGTCATTAATTTCACCAGGTGCTTAGGGAAAGCAAGTCACCAGCCCGGTGGAGAGAGCGTGTAGGCTCCTCTATTCTTTCTTTTCTGGAAGCCTCGTAATTCGGCTGCGATTCCAGTTTGGCCGCAGACGTCCAGACAGTAAACGGCCTAGACCAAAGGCCCTGATAAAAAGAACTTAGAAGCCTGCACCTTCACCTCTTCCCCTAGGGATAAAAGGCTCCCTTTTTCCTTCTTGCACAGTTTGAGACCCGCTGAGCGGGAGGTGAGTGCAGAACCCGAACGCTCTAGGTATCTGGCAGTGTCCACAGCCGGATCTGTGGCGCTTAGAAACCAGGAGCGCCCCGCGGCTCAAAGGCTAGACAGTTTGCAAGGGCTTCTTTCCCCACAGGTCGGCTGTAACAGGCTGTATCGCCTCGGAAAGATCCTCTGTTCCCCCGGGCTAGCGGCATTTTTGCAATCCAGCCACAGCCTCACCCACTGCCCAAGGCCTAATCGGAGCTCCTAGGGGGCGAACGCCAAAGGGAAAGAAAAAGAAAAAAGGCAGCCTTTGGGTAGGTGGGTCTTTCTTGCTCCAGGCCCAAGCCTCACCCCTGCAGGTCACTCGCCTTGGTGAGAGCCCGCACACTGCCCTCTTCTTTACCCCCTACCCTTCAGAACCGAGAAAGCAGCAGGAAACCCAGGGCTCGCCGGAGTTCAGGTCATCTCCTGTTTTTTTGATGGGCTCAAACTTGGACTAAATGAGCGGATATGCCTGCGAGATTGGTCTCAAAATAGAAGCGGCCCTAGTATTTTAGGATACTGCAGAAATCCTTATTTCTTCCGGAGAAAAACTCTATAATGACTCCTAGCACTTCCCCTTTCAATATTTGTGCAACTTTATCTCCACCGGCAAGTTGCTGTGGTGACGCAAATCCGCTCTTCTGTATTACAACTTCCAAAATAAATGCACGGAAATCAATTCCCCTCTAGCAATGAAAATATAAGTATGCAGCTGTGACTTTCGCCTTTAATCTTTGCTTTCCGAGCTGTTCAGGGCTGTGGCGAAATGAACTAGCCCAGAGTTGTTGTTGCCTGAGCAGGGAGGCCCTAGGGGCAGAGGCGTGGACTCCCGGGGGACCTTGTAACCACCAGGGATAGAAATGAGCCCGATTAAATCAAATTACTTGAACTTAGTTCACACTCACGCGTCTATCAAAAAGGTCAAAATTTGGGGGGGAGGCACTACCGCGCCTGGGGCGTTTGCTCATTTATGATTGCTGTTTATAGACGTGCAATCTATCCCCTTTGTCTTTTCCAGAGAAGACACACAGCCAAAGTATTTCACAATACCAGGAATAGTCAAGGTCTTCGCAGGTCCCTTAATAATTTGACAATGTGGTTTCTGAACATTTAAGATTGAGGAAAGCAATGGATGCAATGCAATACTCAGACAAGAGAAAGCTCTGGTCTCTTTTCAGTTCTCTCTTGTGCTCAAAAGGGGCAAATTCTTACTTTAAACCCAGGGACATACATAAGAGAGCATGGTGGTGTTCCTTATTGTAGGAAGATAACTCCAGATGGGCTTGAACTAGCCAGATCTTTCAAAGGATTTGGGGACTGTAATATATAAAGTTACTCCTATCTCCACATGGGAACTCCCTCTCCGGTTCACTTTAAAGAATCTTTTAAACAGGATACTTACTCGCAGGTTTTTTTTTTTTGTTGTTGTTGTTTGTTTGTTTGTTTTTGGTTTTGTTTTTTTTGACCAAGAAATATATACCCGCAGTCAAAAGGCGGGAAAGGAAACACAGCATAGCCTGGATTTAAGCATTTGAGAGATTCTATGGACAACACTGTTGGAACCTGTGTGTTGTGTGCCCATCACTCCACCAGCCAGGAACCTGTGTGCTCCTCCAATGGGTACCTGTGTGTGGTATGCCTGTCACTCCACCAGCCGAGGTTTAATTATGGGCTTCAGGCCCAGCTCTTGTTTAGTGGTGAATGCTGGACTTTTTTCCTTGTGGGTTCTAGATAGTACAATTTAGTACATTTATGGGGAGAGGGAGGTATTCCAAGTAGACTTGCCTCCCATTTTCTGAGCTCCTTGGGTTTGCTCAGGTTGGAGGAAACTGGACTTTCTAGGAGGTGGGAAGAACAGCAGCCTGTAGCACCTGTAACCATTTGACAATCCACATGCTCCTCCCCACTTCCACGTGTGCTGGGCTCTCTGATCACCCACCCTCTCCTGGACCATGATCCCCCCCCCTTTTAAATTTTATTTATCCCGTAGGTCTGGCACCCAAATCTCGAAGCCCTTTGGGTCTGGTCCCATTTGCCCTTTTCTGGAGGATGGGGGGGGGTCTCTCCTGTTTCTAGGATGTGTCACTTCATAGATATGAAGACACTCGTCTCTCTTCCTGCCCCCTCTTGTTACACCCTCCCCTGGCTTTCCCCAACTCCCTTTAGAGATGGGGAGTGACAGCAGAGGCAAGCAGTTTGAAACCTGCTCCTGTTGTTAAAATCGGCTTCTCTATCCAGTTTATCTTTACATCTAGAAATGCCTCAGGCCTCAGGTGAGCTAGGGTAGAGCCCACCACACTACAGAACTTAGCATCCAAGCACATCCAATTGCAGTGAAGGCACATCCTGGAAGGACAGGTAGAAACTGTGAGGCCATCTGGTACTCCAGAAACCATTTGCCCATCATGAGGTGTGCTCGCCAGCTCCCAGGAATGAGCCATTTACTAGACGCTGGGTTTGTTTTCTGAATTATTGAATCTGAATGGTTCATTGTTGAGGGAAAAGAAGGAAGTCTAGGTACACTAAATCAATAACACTACATTTAAAACACACCTGCCACTCAGGGGAAGGGACAGTCATTCCAGAGAAGTACTTCTTTAAGGAAACACACAGTGCAAAGAGAACCGAAATGGACTTTGCAAGCTGCTTTTATCCTGTGGCAGACAGGGACCCCAAACTCACTCTTCATTAGTAAGTTCATACCTCCATAGTAGGGCTAATTCACATGTGAGGACACAGCTCTCAAGACTCTGTTATGGAATGAATATGAAATATTCCTACCTGCCGCATGCATGGTCCCCACCTGGTGGCATTATTTTGAGAGGAAGCTGAAACTTTAGGAGGTGGGGTCCAGCTGCAGAAAGGAAGTCACTGAGGGCATGCCAGCTTCTAGGTTCTGTGGAAAAAGAAAACTCGAGGCAGGAATGGGAAAAAAAACAGGAGATGGGTGAGGACCCTGGAAAGGGATTCTGTAGACTGAACCGACCGTGTGTCTCCCACTCAGAGCTCTCAATTTGCATCCCCACCCCACAACTGGAACAGCTGTGAAATCATAGCTGACTCCTCCACCAGCCCTGTCTCAGCGCATCAGACCCAGGCATCTTTCCCTTCCCTCTGCTGACACCTGCTGGACAATCCCTGAACCAGCAAC